TTGGGAAAGGAGTACATCAAGGATGCCCTGCTTATTTAACGTATATGCAGAGTACATCATGTGAAATGCCGGGCTGGATGAAGCACAAGCTGGATCAAGATTGCCAGGAGAAATATCAATAACCTCAGATATGTGGACACCACCCTTATAGCAGAAAGCAAAGAAGAACTAAAGAGCCTCTTGATGAAGGTGAAAGAGGAGAGTGAAAAACCTGGCTTAAAACTCAATGTTCAAAAAACTAAGATCATGGCATCTGGTCCCATCACTTCATGGCAAATAGACGGGGAAACAATGGAAACAGTGACAGACTTTATTTTCTTGGGCTCCAAAATCACTGCAGACAGTGACTGCAGCCATGAAATTAAAAGACGTTTGCTCCTTGGAAGGAAAGCTATGACCACCTAGACAGCATATTGAAAAGCAGAGACATTACTTTGCCAACAAAGGTCCATCTATTCAAAGCTATGGTTTTTCCAGTAGTCATGTATGGATGTGAGAGTTGGACTATAAAGAAAGCTGAGCGCCAAAGAATTGATGCTTTTGAACTGTCGCATTGGAGAAGACTCTTGAGAGTGCATTGGTCAGCAAGGAAATCAAACCAGTCAATCCTAAAAGAAGTCCTGAATATTCACTGGAAGGACTGATGCTGAAGCTGAAACTCCAATACTTTTGCCACCTGTTGCAAAGAACTGATTCATTGGAAAAGACCCTGATGCTGGGAAAGACTGAAGGCAGGAGGAGAAGGGGACGACAGAGGATGAGATGGTTGGATGGCATCACCAACTTGATGGACATGCGTTTGAGCAAGCTCTGGGAGCTGGTGATAGATAGGGAAGCCTGGCGTGCTAAAGTCCATGAAGTCACAAAGAGTTGGACACGACTGAGTGACTGAATAGAACTGAAATTAAATTCGCCCATTTCTGTATATTTTAGTCCACTGATTCCTAAAATATCGATGTTTATTCTTACCATCTCTTGTTTGACCATGTCCAATTTACCTTGATTTATGGACCTAACATTCCAGGTTCCTATGCAATATTGTTCTTTGCAGCATTGGGTTTTACTTTCATCACCAAACACATCCATAACTGAGTGTCATTTCCACTTTGGCCCAGCTGGTTCATTCTTTCTGGGGCTATTAGTAGTTGTCCTTCACTCTTCCCAGTAGCATATTGGACACCTTCCGACCTGTGGGACTCATCTTTCGGTGTTGTATCTTTTTGCCTTTTTATTACATTTCATGGGGTTCTCATGGCAAGTATACTGGGGTGGTTTTCCAGTCCCTCGTTTAGTCAGAACCCTCCACTGTGACCCTACACATCTCGGGTGGCCCTACACGGCATGGCTCATAGCTTCACTGAGTTATGCGAGAACCCAAAAAGGCATCCAGAGTCAGACATTCTGGAGGGTGAAGTCAAGTGGACCTTAGAAAGCACTGCTGTCCATAAAGCTAGTGGGACTTCCCTGGTGGTCCAGAGGTTAAGAATTTGCTTGCCAGTGCAGGGGACACAGGTTCAGTCACTGGTCCAGGAAGATTCCACATATTGCAGAGTAATTAAGCCTATGTGCCATAGCTTCAGAGCCTGAGCTCTGCAATGAGAAGCTTGTGAACTGCAACTAGAGTGTAGCCCCCACTCTCCACAACTAGAGATAGCCCGCACGCTGCAATGAAAACCCAGCAAAGTCAAAAATAAAAATATAAATTATTAAAAATAAATAAAGTTAGTCAATGTGATGGAATTCCAGTAGATCTATTTAAAATCCTAAAAGATGATGCTATGTAAGTTCTGTACTCAATTTGCCAGCAAATCTGGAAAACCCACTAATGGCCGCGGCACTAGAAAAAGTCAATCCTCATCCCAATTCCCAAGAAGGGCAGTACTAAAGAATGTTCAAACCACCAGACAATTATACTCATCTCTCGTGCTAGTAAGGTTATGCTCAAAATCCTGCATGCTAGACTTTAGCATTACATGAACCGAGAACTTTCAGATGTCCAAGTTGGGTTTAGAAAAGGCAGAGGAACCAGAAATCAAATTGCCACCATTCATTGGATCACAGAGAAAGCAAGGGAATTCCAGAAAAACACCTACCTCTGTTTCATTGACCACACTAAAGCCTTTGACTGTGTGGATCATAACAAACTGTGGAAAACTCTCAAAGAGATGGGGATACCAGACCATCTTACCTGTCCCCCGAGAAACCTGTATGCGGGTCAAGAAGCAACAGTTAGAACCCTGTGTGGTTCAGGATTGAGGAAGGAGTATGATAAAGCTGTTTGCTGTCACCCTGTTAATTTAACTTACATGCTGAGCACATCTTGAGAAATGTCAGGCTGGATGAGTTACAAGCTAGAATCAAGATTGGCAGGAGAAACATTAACAACCCCAGATATGTGGATGATAACACTCTAATGGCAGAAAGTGAAGAGGAACTAAAGAACCTCTTGATGGGGATAAAGGGGGAGAGTAAAAAAAGCCGGCTTAAAACTAAATATTAAAAAAACTAAGATTATGGCATCCAGCCCCATCACTTCATGGCAAATAGAAGGGGAAAAGGTAGAAGCAGTGACAGATTTCCTCTTCTTGGGCTCTAAAATCACTGTGGATGGTGACTGCAGCCATGAAATTAGAAGACAATTGCTTTTTGGCAGGAAAGCTGGGACAAATTTAGTGTGTTGAAAAGCAAAGACATTGCTTTGCCAACAAAGGTCTGTATAGTCACGGCTACGGTCTTTCCAGTAATCATGTATGGTTTCCAGTAATCATGTATGGACCATAAAGAAGGCAGAGCGCCGAAGAATTGTTGTCTTTGAACTGTGGTGCTGGAGAAGACTCCTGAGAGCCCCTTGGACAGCAAGTCAATCTTAAAGGAAATCAACCCTGAATACTCATTGGAAGAACTGATGCTGAAACTGAAGCTCCAATATTTTGGTCACCTGATGCAAACAGCCGACTCATTGGAAAAGACCCTGATGCTGGGAAAGATTGAGGGCAGAAGGAAAAGAGGGCATCAGAGGATGAGATGGCTGTATGACATCACCGATACAATGCACATGAACTTGGGCATACTCTGGGAGATGGTGAGGGACAGGAAGGCCTGGCGTGCTGCAGTCCATGGTGTCATGAAGAGTCAGACACAACTGGGCGACTGAACAACAAAACATGGCTGCTTTCGCACTGAAAGCAGAGTGGAGTAGTTGTGACAAAGACTGTGGCCTGCAAAAATCCGCTTAAAATATGTGCTATATGACCTTTTTGCATACCCTGCTCTAGGTTTACATGAATGAGAATTTTTAGCAACAGGTGGGACACACTTACCATATCTTCATTGGAACTGAGTACTCAAATATTTTCAGCTCATAAGCAAGATAGCTCTTTACCTTCCTGATTACACTTTCGGCTCAAACTTCCTTTTTCTTCTGATAAATATTTCCTGGGTTCTTTCCCTTCATCCCTCTTCCCACCCTCTCTATCCTTGTTAATTTATCACCCTGCCTGAAACAGTCTCAGATAGGGGCTGAAGGGGTAGCTGAAGTGGCACTGCACCCTAGGTTTAAGTAGGAAAGCCAGTACAGGTGTCCAACTGTCCCAAAGGTTGGTGTGGGTGCAAATCAAAGAAAAAAAGCACCTGACCCACCAACAGCTGGTTGAAATTCAGTTGAAAACCAGAGAGGCTCTGGCCCTGATTGGGCCTCTTCAGAAAACAAAGGAGCCAGTCTACAGGAGCCCAGGGCTTTGATAGGGTCCCTAAACATAAGATTGTGGGGTGGGAAACATGAAATGAACCAAAATGTCTCAGAATGAGCCCAGTTCCCCCTTTGGCTTAGTTCAGCAACCCTGTTATACCTAAAGTAGGAACTGCAGCTACAGAGGATGTTCTTGTGGGCATTGAACTCAAAGCCATTGACCTTGATGACCACGTCGCAGAGCTTGCCCTCTAGCCTAAGCTCGTTGAAGATCTCACAGGTCATCGCACTCATCTTCCTCTCCATGTGAGGCTGGTGGAACCGTGTGGAGGCCGCCGCGCTCTCCATCTCCATGGCACCCTGGGATCAGTGGAGAGAGGCTGCTCTCCTAGGGTGTCGGGGAGGATTGTGGGGGGGGCCCTTTAGCCAGCTGTCACTCCTTTTCCCTACTACATCTTTCATATAGGGCCCATCAGGCAGCCCAAGTTCCAGAATCCTGGGGCCGCAGTGAGGTCACTCTCAGGATTGTGTTCTCGGGTTCTGGAACTCTCTCCTGTCCCTGTCCTTCTTCCTTCTCCCATCCCCCAAGCCACCACTCAGGTTGAAGACCATCCCACACCTTCCGCAACCAGAAGAACAGGACCCGGTGACCACCACAACCACCACATCAGAGTTCTGTTTCACTCTAACTCCTGGGGCCCCCTTCAGGTGTTCAGTTGGGCATCTCTGTAGCATCCATCTACCTTCTTCTACAGCCTGGCACTTGACTCCCAGACAGAGCTCTGGGAAGCTAAGTCAGAGAAGGCAGAAGGAAGAAGTAAAGCTGATGAGCTTTCATTCTGGTCCACCTGTCCAGGGCCTTCCTGCCCTCTGGACGTGAGTCATCTTCTGTGATGAGGAGCGAGTCCAGAGAAGCAAGCACTTTCCGGCTGTTCAACAGAACTCACTTATGTCTCCTTCACATCCCCTCCCTTCCTGCGGTCTTTTGATCATGCAAACTGTAAGCCTGGAAATGATCACTCTGGTCAGGGTTTTCGCTCTACAAGGAATGGCACCCACGTACCCTCCACCTCTTGGGACCCTCCCCGTCCTCTAACACAGGGCTCTCAAGCAGAGTCTGCACGCACAGCGCCGCGCGGCCCTCCAGAGGCCGCCTGCCTCTGCCGACCCTGCACCTAGCCCACCACCCTCGGGCTCGCCTCCTGCACCCCACCCCCCGCCCCCGGATCCGCCCCGGTCGGAAGCGGCGCCTGCGCAGTGCAGCCGCGAGGGCGGTCGTTGTGTCCACGCCGCCGACCGGCCCGCGAGCGCAATGGCGGAGGAGGTGAGGTGGGAGGAGGAGGCCGACGTGGGGCTGGCCCCGAACCCCCGGGCGCTCCGAGACCCCCAGCAGGCCGTCTGGTCCCCACCGCTCCAGTGCGGCCCGTAGACGCCCAGGCCTTGCCAGAGCCCCCGCTCGCCCCCTGCGCCCCCGGCCCGGCTTCGCGGGGCTCCCCTTGGGCCCTGCGCGGTGCTGGAATCAGCGGTTCTCTCGGGTCTCGGGACAGGTGAGCACCCTGATGAAGGCTACGGTCCTGATGCGGCAGCCCGGACGGGTGCAGGAGATCGTGGGCGCCCTCCGCAAGGGCGGGGGAGACTGCTTACAGGTATCGCGGGGGGGGGCAAGGTCGGGGCGGCTGGGTCGGGTGCCGGTGGCTGGGCAGGTGGCCTGCCCTGGGCGCCTTATCGTGTTGCTGCAGAGAACGTGCAGGCAAGCCTTCAGACTCTAGAAATAGCCAGGGACTTGAGGGCAAGCGTCTTTTGCCTTGGAGGAGAGCCCATCTGCCCGAAAACCTAGATTTCAGTATTCTCAAATTTCTTTAGACAGAAAGCACCCCACACCAGGCCTCCGGGTCTTCTTGTCCTCACTAGCCGAGGTTGGTGGGCTCCCCAAGAAGGTGCAGATGTGGAGATGAGCCAGAAGGAGGGGGCATCTTAAGGGAAACCAGGGTATTGAGATGGATGCTGTTGAAAGGGTAGAAGAGGTCCTGATTCTGCAGTCCCCATCCCCACCCTCCACGAGACTGGGTCTTCTCAGGGTTGGCACAGGTACTAACTAGAATTAGTTCTTCCTTCCCTCTCCAGTCCTTCCTGACTCCCTCAGGGCTGTGCCTGCAGGCTGGGCATGGAACTGTTTGGATTTCCGTATTCATATTGATGCAGGGCTACACCGCAAGGTGCCTGTCTAGGCATCATCTCTCTTTTGCATTTCAGGTCATTTCTGATTTTGACATGACCTTGAGCAGGTTTGCATATAATGGAAAGCGATGCCCTTCTTCTTACAGTAAGTCAGTCATACACAAGCTTGCTTTATTGGACTTGACAGGATGATGGCTTCTAAGGGACGAGTAAAAGGAGTTCTGTATTTTTGCAGATATTCTGGATAACAGCAAGATCATCAGTGAGGAGTGCCGAAAAGAGGTGGGTTACTCCCTTCTTTGCTCAGAAACGGCTGGCATATGTGACGTCCAGTGGTTCTTGGTTAGGACCAAAGATTCCAGGGTCAAGACCGTAGAAGGTTAATTTTTAAAAAAAATTGTTGTTATCCTCAGGTGGACCTAGTCTTTTTTTTTGTGTGTGTGTGTGTGTGGCTTGTGTAATCGTAGGGGTTCCTGACCAGGGATTGAACAGGGCCCTTGGCAATGAAAGGGAGAAGTCCTAACCACTGGGCCACCAGGGAATTCCCAGGTGGACTTAGTCTTATACACTGAGAAAGCTTTTCCTTATTGGCCAAGACATGTGATAATGGATGGTTGGACTTTGCTTACTGCTAGCTATAGAATTTACAGGAGACATTTTACTGCCTCCATTTAACAGATGGGGAAACAGAGACTTGGAGAGGTTTGAACAACTTACCCAAGGTCACACAACAAGATGCAGAGCTTGGTTTTCCCATAGATCTGATTCTGTTCCCAAACTCTTTTTAACTGGATTATGCTGTTTCCTTGATAATATAAATTTTCTTGGTGCGTTAGCAGTTACCAAGAAAGACTTCTGAATTAATGTCTATGTATGAAACTCCCCATTTCCATAAGATGCATACAGATAATATAAGGTGATCCCTGTAGCCTTGGAGTTCATTTTACTTTGTTCCATGTTCTTCCCATCAGTGTCCTTTTTGCCAGAGCAGAGCTGTGCTAACTGCTCATTTCTCTTCTGAGCTCTTTCTTCTAAAAACTGTATCATTAAATTCCGCTTGATTATGAAATTCACCCAATTGTGTACTAACTAAGCAGTTTGTTGGCTGGCCATGGTTGGTCAGCTCTTCTAGTACTCTGCATGATTACTGGTTATTAGGATGGGCAGTGAATTATAGATAACCTTTCTATTTCTACACCTGTGTCTCTGGAGATGCCATTTGTAGCTTAAAGTAGAGTCTGGCTCTACCACTGATCACCTTCGGGAAGTCAGCTCTTTTTGGTCCCTCACATCCCCCATCATAGCAACTTCCAGAGAGCTTCATCCACAGATAAAACAAAAGGTTTGGATGCCCTCTCTAGGATAAAGAAACTAGAGAAAACTAGGATTTCTGGTGTTGATGGGTTTCTGAAGAAATTCATAAAGCAAAATTTATGTAAAGAAATCTTTTTTCTTTTTAAACATTTATATTCTGTTGAGTTCTGTTTTACTTTCAGAAGAATGTTCTCACATTCAAATAATTAAGAATCTTTAATACATGTTAGGGGCTTCCTGTCTTTGAATTTAACCCTCTTTTGGACTGATGGTCGGGGACTCCATTTGATCTCACTATTCCAAGACCATGCATGTATTAAAATTATAATTCTTCACTCTGTCCATTCCCATTTTTATTGGGCACTGTTACTGACTGAAACATGCGACACGCATGATCCCTGAAGCAGCCTCCCTAGAGCCTGGACGGTCCAGGCACGTGGAAGGTGACTGTAGCCAGAGGAGGCACGTGGAGATGCTCCTGGTGAGGAGGTCTGCCTGACGTTGGCAGTGCAGTCGTTACCCCTGAACATCTAGAGTATCCTAGCTCCACTAGAGCATGTTTTTTTTTTTACCAGATCTATCTAAATTGCCCTGCTTTTAAAGATTTAAGTGCAACTCGTAGCACTGAGCCTAGTGGCTCAGACAGTTAAGAATCTGCCTGCAGTGCAGGAGACCTGAGTTCGATCCCTGGGTCAGGAAGATGACCCTGGAGAAGGGAATGGCTACCCATTCCAGCATTCTTGCCTGGAGAATTCCGTGGACAGAGGAGCCTAGCAGGCTTCAGTCCTTGGAGTTACCAAGAGTTGGACATGACTGAGCAACTAACACTACTACTGCTACTACTACTAAACTTGCAAAAGAAACAATTTTTGTGAAAGCAGTAGTTTGATGGGTTTGTTTTCTTTCTTTTTCTGACATAGCATTAAAATGAGTCCGAAACCACTAAAATGAAATGTGTTTTTATCCATGTGCTCCCTTGCCTGTAAGTTATCTTGCCTGCTACCTAAGAAAGCATACCACATTTTAGGAAATACAGCATTAACTCAGTTCTTACTGACTAAGTGCTAATGCCTGGGCTAATTTATAACAGCAACAACGGCAACAAAATTCTAGATGTTACCACACTACGAAACCTCTTTGTATTGTTGATACCTATACCTCATTCTTTGGGGTAGGGGGGTGCGGGGGGTGGGGCTGGAATGCAGAAGGATGGCCAGCTCTGAAGCTCCTGTGACTCCCTTATATGAAATTCCATCTTCTAGGTAACTGGTGACTTTTTTCTCATGTAGGACTGTAGGACTCTGCTGGGAAAAACTTGATATAGACTGATGACTGTTCTCTTCATTTTGGATGTCACAGCTCAAAGCACTCCTTCACCATTATTACCCGATTGAGATTGACCCACACCGGACTATCAAAGAGAAGTTACCCCACATGGTAGAGTGGTAAGTGCTGGTAGTGGTGAATGATGGCTTGGTCTGGCTTTGAAATCAGATGCAGGCTCCCTTACCTTACTGAATGCTCAGCTGAATGCCACAGTCCCAGCTATTAGAACAGATTGTCCAGACACAGACAGGTCACTCATGGCTGCTGCTGGATGAAGTCGGGGGCTCACTGAGAGTCCTTGGAGTAAACCAGAAGCCCCTTAGTTTGGGGGAATCAGTGCTTTGGGGAAATAACCCTCCTCAGAAAAACCAGTGTCACTGGACAGAGTCCCAGAGAAAAGGTTCAGAAGAACTTTGGCATCAGCAGCAACTCACCCAGCTATGCTACAGCTATGCTACAGGGACAGCCAGGGTCCTGCAGGAAGTGGCTCCAAGGAAGAGGATGAGGCCTCCATTGCCAGTACTTCCAAAGGAGACTCAGGCCTGCGATGGGAAAGGGCACTTTACTTAGTGGTTTGAATTTAGGGCTTTGTTGGGGGGTCTCTCTCCAGGTGGACCAAAGCACACGACCTCTTATGTCAGCAGAAGATTCAGAAGTTTCAGATAGCCCAGGTGGTAAGAGAGTCCAACGCAATGCTCAGGTGAGCTGCCTGCTCTGGGAAACGCTTCTGCTAGACTGGAATGGGTTTGCTTACAAAGAGAGGCTGGAAAGGAGTGAAGAGGAGTTAGTTGCTGGAAGAGTCAGAAGTGACGTAGCTCCTTGAGGAGAAGGTCTTTCTGTTCCTCTCTCGACTCAGCCAGAGAATTTTCTATCCTGGGGTGTGTCTGAGGACACACTCTGTTGGTAATGGATGTGGTGAAGATGCTCCATCTCCTAGAACAAACAGTGTCTTGGTAATTTTTCCCAGTGGTAAAAAGACTTATGGGGTCCCTGTGGTAACTGGTGTTCTTTATCCAGACATGGGAGTTGGCTGGCCTGGGACCCTTGATCATCAGTGACCTTCAGAGCTCAGCTCTCTCTGCTGGAGCGTTCTTTACTGAAGGAGGGATGGGGGCACGTAGAGGAAAGAGTCAGCACGGGTGCCTTCCCTCAGGGATTGTGTGTCCTGACTGGGGAGGGAGGCTAGCTTGTGGAAAGCCAGGAGAGTGGGCACGTGTAGACCCAGTAAGTGCCCGGGTAGGTTGGGGGTGCTCGCCAGTGAAGCCATCCTAGGAAAGCCACCTGGTTGTATTTTGCTCAGGCAAAATCATCTAGAAACAAACAAACAAAAAAATGTGTTTATATGATTAATGTGAAGCATTAATCAGGGAAAGCAAATCAATGGTGATGTGAAGTCAAAATGGGGGCGGTGGCATCAACTGGGAAGGGACATGAAGGAAGATTGACCTGGTGTGTATCACACGCATGTACACATGTTGTAAATATTAATTGAGCTAAATACTTAAGATTAGTGCACTTTAATCATTTATTCTGTGTATTTTATACATCAATTTAAAATGTTTTAGAGGGACTTAACTGGTAGTCCAGTGGTTAAGACTCCAAGCTCTCAATGTAGGAGCACAGGTTTGATCCCTGGTCAGGGAACTAAGATCTTGCATGCAGAGCAGTGCAGCCAAAAAAAAAAAAAAAAGTTTAAAGAAAAATTTAAAAGATGTAACCCAAATAGAAAATAAAGGGCAGTAACAGAGGTGATGCGGTTTCAGAACCATTCATCTGGTTTCAGGGATGGATACAAGACATTCTTCAACACCCTCTCGCAGAACAACATTCCCCTTTTCATCTTTTCTGCGGGCATTGGGGATGTCCTGGAAGAAATTATCCGGCAGAGGAAAGTGTTCCACCCCAACATCCACATCGTGTCTAACTACATGGAGTTTGATGAAGATGTGAGCTGCATCTGATTAGGGCTGGAGTAGAAGAGGGGTGGGGACCACTAGCCAGTGTGCTTCACCCTGAATGTTAACCAGGATGGGGGGCAGGAGGAGGGAGGGGAAGGTATGCTGGCTTCGTTGCCCTTGGCAGCTATTTATTTATTAACATAGCTAAAGATAGTTGCTTTTGAAAGACCCGTTCTTGAGTGTCTGGCTGACAGTGGGCTCTCTGCCAGGGAGGACCTAGTTTAGGGCTCAGCCAGGCCCTGTGTCACTGTCATGGGTCATGTGCCATCCTAGGTACTCAGGGGCTTGGACTTGGACTTGTTTTGCTTGAGCCAGAGGTAGGCTACACTGACTCACCCATGTTCTGACTTCCTCCCCTTAAGACAAGGCTGGAATGTTCGTCCCTTTGACTTGTGGTTAGGGTGCGGCCCACAGCTGAGGTTAGCACACGTGTAGCCCGGGCAATGCTTGTATCCCAGCTTCTTGCTTCCCCCAGAGCAAGTGATCTACAGTATTTGATGGCCTCTGTTAAAACCAGGGGCTGAAAACTTTTTTGAAACTCCCTGGTGGTCCTGTGGTTAATTCTCAGTGCTTCCACTTCAGGGGCCTGGATTCAGTCACTGGTAGGGGAACTAAGATCTCCTAAGCCTTGTGGCATGGCCAAAAAAACCCAACCAAAGGGAAAAACCTTTTCCTATAAAAGAACAGATAGTAAATATCTTACTAGGATCATTCGCAACTACTCTGTCACACGAAAAAAGCAGCCATAGACAAGATGTAAACAGATGGGCCTATAAATTAATTTCCAGTAGAACTTGGAGAAGGAAATGGCAAACTACTCTAACGTTCTTACCTAGAGAATTCCATGGACAGAGGAGCCTGGCGGGCTATAGTCCATGGGGTCACACAGAGTCAGATGCGACTGAACAACTAACACACACAGAACTTCATTTACAAAAGTAGTCCAAATCTGGCCCACGAACCCTAGCTTGCTGACCGCTAGTCTGGACCACAGTGACGTGTTGCCATCTGTGGCTTTCGTGGCAGACTGGAGAACTGGCGCTCGATGGGTCCCTGTAGCCCTTCTGTCTGTCTCTCATCTTGATTACTTAGGGCTTCCTAAAGGGATTCAAGGGCCAGCTCATCCACACCTACAACAAGAACAGCTCTGTGTGTGAGAACTCCGATTACTTCCAGCAGCTTCAGGGCAAAACCAACATCCTCCTGCTGGGAGACTCCATGGGGGACCTCACTATGGCTGATGGGGTTCCTGGCGTGGAGAACATTCTCAAGGTTGGCTTCCTAAATGACAAGGTAGGTATGAGACCCGGGCTCTTCATGGCTGGCTCCTTCATTCCTGTTATGGGATATACACTGTGTGAAGTATTGGAGGCACAGAGGTCAGACACAAGCCATAGTCTCCTAGGAAACAAGAGATACCCAGTGGTCAGAGCTGTACTCACAGCACAGGGCATGATCTGGAGGTCAGAGCACATCATCAGAGCTCATGCTTACTGAGTGCTCACCTTGGGCCGGGAACATCAAACCAGCTAATCTGTATAGTCATACTTTGAGGTAGTGACTGTTTTACATTTTTACAAGTGTGGAAACTGAGGCAGGGGGATTAAGTAACTTGCCCAAGGTGACATAGTTTAGAAAGTGGTTGGGCTGATCACCAGTCCTAAATCTTACCTGTAAAGGCATGATTGAGATGGGGGATGTTGGTATTCAAGATGTGGGTTTATAATTTAGAGAAGGAAAACGTAGAAACAGACAAGGGCTTAATGGATGAAAACAAGATCGTAAAGTGGCACAGTACGGCGTCAGGCTCGGCCAGCAGGTGCTGAAGGCTTTAAAAAATTCAGTCTAATCTACCTCATAGATTAGGGGTAACATCTGGTTTTTTGTCTCTTAATCCTTGTGACTGTCCTTTTGACACTGACCCAGGGGTTAATTGTGGCAACCTGCACCCACAACCATGTGTGTCTCCAAAGGACAGGGCCTGGTAACCCTGAACTCCTTTTGGGGAGTTGCAGCTTGAAGGTGCTCCTCCCCATCCCCTGGTGTGTAACAGCAGGCAGGGCAGAGGGCAGGGTGCTGGGGGACTCGAGCTCTCTGCTTCCCGGGCAGGTGGAGGAGCGGCGGGAGCGCTACATGGACTCATATGACATCGTGCTGGAGAGGGACGAGACGCTGGACGTGGTCAATGGGCTGCTGCAGCACATCCTGCAACAGGGTGACTGGACAGAGATGCAGGGTTCCTGAGCGCAGGCGGGGCCTGCAGGCTGCAGTGGGGAGGGGCCTCCCTGGAAGGCCGCTCTGCTCTGAGCTCTGCTCCTGTGCGTGCAGAGTCCTCCAGAGAACATTCCGGGCTGCCAGTGGCTGGGAGCTGCTGGCTCACACCCCTCCCTCCTCCTCTCCCCGGCTCCTTGGTTTTGTGTTCTCCAACGGCTCACGGGAGCCCTGCCAGGAGGGAGGACAGCGAAAGCTATTCCAGGCGAACTGCGGACCTACGCAGTGTTAGCACTTTAGGAATCAGCTAGTCCAGGGAATCTTTTTTTCCCAGAATTTTTTTAACATGTGAAGCTGTTCTTCAAGTCTAAGTCTAATATGTGAAACAGATCAAAAATAAAAAAAAAGAAAAAAAACAGCTGATCTGATTTGGGGGTCCGGGGCGGAGCAGATCCTGTACCTGTTGGCTCCAAGGTGCAGGAATCTCCAAGACCGTGGAACACAGTTTGAAAACCACTGAATTCGCCCAGGAGACCCTCTGAGCACAGCCAGGTGTGTCTGTGGGGGTCGGGGGAGGGACGCAGGCAGGGTTGGAAGGGTATGGTTCTGACCTAAAATGGTTTGACTTGATTCTCATGCAGCAGTTAAACTTGAGATTCCGTGGGGTCAGCTGGATCTGGCTGGTACTGTCTGCAGAGCCCCGTCTTTATGGATTTTCTAAAGAGATCCATGTGAGTGTGGGTTTTCCCTGGTACCCCTGGCTCCTGTCCTTCCTCCTCCTCCGGGGCCACTAAAATAGATGACTTCCCAGGAGTTGAGCCTGGGGAGCTGACAGTGCTCTGGGCAGAGTCAACTTCATTCCCTCTCCCGCCTGCCCAGCTGCTGGAAAGTCATGTTTATCTGCAGTTCTAAAAGGAAAGTAATGGGAGTGTTGACTGAGAGCTGGCTGCATGCTCCCAGAAGCCACAGGTGCTGTTTCATCCTCACTGTGACCGTGCAGGAGTGCAGGTCCACTTAGGAAGGACCAGTCCTTTGCCCAAAGGCTAGAGCTGGATGCTCTGGGACTAGGGAATATCAGTCACTGCAGCCGTAGGGAGCAGCTTCTCTCTCAGAGGGTCGTAGATGAGAACTCTGTGCTTGTGGTTTTTGTGGGGGCAGTTCAGGGTGTGAGTCCAGGCTGCTCATTTTCTCTCCCGTGCACCTCACCCCCTCCTTAGATGGCTAGGCTCATCTCTTGCACTGGCCAGAGTCTAGCCAAGCAGATGAGGACAGATGGCCTGACTGGTGACTGAATCGACTCCTTCCTCAACATGAGGTTTTGTCCAGTGGCTACGACTCTGCATCCCCAATGCAGGAAGCCTAGGTTCAATCCCTGGTCAGGGAACTAGGTCCCACCACAGGCTGCAACTAAGAGTTCACAAGCCACAGTTAAGACCCACAGCAGTCCAAAAAAAAAAGACATGAGGTTTGAACTCATTTACCTTTCTGATGAGGGGAAGATGCGTCAGGCAGATGGGAACAGCTGGCAGCCAGGAGGAGGGAGAGGTGGGAATATTGTATGAGAACTGATCTGAAAAGAACCCAAACTGTGTGGTTTAATTCAATCCCTGAGCTTTGTACATCGTGTTTCACTTCAGGGACCTTGTTTTTTGTTTCCCATTGAGCTGGGGCAGCGAGGAGACCAGGATCCTATCCCCAGGCCTGACCCACAGGCTCCTCTCCTCTGGACACAGCCTTCCATGGTGAGGGCCCCAGCTGAGCCTGAGAGAGGCAGGAGGCACAGACCCGGGCACAGTTCAACGTCTTGAACTGAAGGGCTGTGGAGGCAGCCTGCTTTGGTCCCCTTCCTCTGGACGCGTGGATTGAAGGGCCCCTCCCCCAGAAAGACCACATGCCAAGGCCTCTGGTTTAGTGTTTTATTTTGGCACAAAGGAGAAGGAGGGTCTGACACCAGTTTAGTCTTTGGAGTGTGCAGAGCTTTGCCCACCCCCGTCACCCCTCAGTCCCCAATGAGCCCCTCTTCCAACTTTCAGCCCTAAACCAAGGGTTTCATAGCTCTCAGATCCATCCAGTAGGTTCCCTCATCCCCACCCCTTCATTTTTTTCTTGGTCCTTGGTCCCTGGAGAAGGCAACCTTCCTTAGGGATGAAAGGTGACCCAAAGCCCAGCTCTGATGTATAGCACCCTGGGAGCACTTCGGCCACCACCACACTGTGAAGGGGGATGGGACAGGTGAAGGTGAGGTAGGGTTGCCCCCCTGGAACCGCCCCCTTTCCCTAGGAACCAGCCACAGAGCTGAGGGAGGAAAGCTGGGGGTTCATGTTCTTGGGGAGATGCCAGGACAGAGGAATGCAGGCTGCAGGTGGGGGTTGAAGATGGAGAGGGTAAATACAGGTACAGGGGAAGTTGGAAATGAATGAGTTTGGTCTTGCTCAGTGGTGACAAGGAGGGGAGGTCTGAGTGAGGGGCGGCCAACCCCCACAGTCTACCATCCCCCCGGGTGGCTTTGTAATTCCAAAACTTCTTAGGAAGGGGCTTGGGGTGGGGAGAGAAAAACCGGATAGAGGTCTGTGCTGCGGATTTTACTCTCGGGCAGTGGGAAGACCAGAGTTGTCCCCTCTGGCCACTGTCTAGATGCTTCCAGACCTCATCCCAGCAGAGGGGAGGGTGGCTGTTGGGAAGCTAGCCCCAATGCCCACTGTCCCCTTCGACGTGGGCCTTTGCCTCCAGGCCCAGGCCTCTGCCCTTCAGAGTTCCTCATGGACCCGCTCCTGGTCTTCATCCGACTTCAGCTTGAGCTCCTCGGCGGTGATCTTGCCATCCTGGTTGCGATCCTGATTCTGGAACATGTCTCCTATGGTTTTCTCAGGATCCTGGCCGGGCAGGAGGCGGCCTTTGCCCTCACTGACTTGAGCCTTGATGAAGGTGGAGAACTGCAGAGAGGGGAGAGCCAAGGGGAAGGGGAGAGAGCGTCTTGCCTGAGCAGCCAGGCTGGCCTTGGGATGGGCTCCCAGGAGGACTGAGAGGAGCTGGTGCTGCGTGGGGCGGGTGCTGGGGCGGAGGGCGTGCTCGGGGTCAGGAAGCCAGAGGAAAAGGCGGGGACAAGGGGCTTAAGGCACAGTGAGCCGAAGGGGGCCAGGGATGCAGCGGACGCGTGCTGTGTTCTAGTTAGACACCACCATACTGGGGGCTCCTGCTGGGGGCAGTGTGCAGTTAGAAGGCGAGAACTTGTCACCCACCTCCTCCGCGGGGACCTCGCCATCCTTGTCAAGGTCCATGTGTTCAAACAGGTTGGCAGGAGGGTCCTCGTGCCACACAAACAGGTAGCCCGTGGGCAGCCCGTCCTCCCGGGACACCAGCTCCACCTCAAACAGCAGCACAGCACTGCCAGGGACCCCCCGGGCTGCAGGAGTGGGGAGCAGAGAAGGGGAGGGTCCGGGCCCCGCTTCACAGCCTGCCCAGCGCACACCTGGCCCACAGGCCTCAGCTGCCCGCTGGGGTTGCTGGAGAGTGGGGCAGGGCACGTTTACAGAACCACCCAGAAGGCTCCCCTCCCTCCTCCCACCAGCCAGCAAGGCCCCAGGCGGGCAGGGGCAGAGGGGAGGAGAGTTCAGGCCAGTCTCGGCCCCTCACCTCCGCTCTCTCCGTGTGCCAGGTGCGGGGGGACCACCAGCTGCCGCCTCTCTCCCACGCACATGCCCTGCAGGCCCGTGTCCAGGCCTTCGATCACTTTGTGGGCCCCCAGAGTCGCCTCCTGAGGGGCCCCGTGGTCATGGCTAGTGGGGAGAGCAGATTCCCCGGTCAGCACTCGCCCTGGTCCCCGGCAGGCCCGGCTCCTGAGTCATTCCTGGGGCCGTCCCACAGAGCAGGGTGCCGGGGCCTGGTGAGCAGAGGTAGGAGCGACCTGGCCCTGTCCTGCAGGGCAGCCCCTGCTTCCACTGCCCTCCGCAGAGTGGAACCAGCCACTCCCCCTACTACCTACTTCACCCTCCCTTTGCCTCTGGAGTTAGGAATTTCAGCTTCAGTGGGAACTTAGGGGGTGCTCCTAGGAGGACCCCCCCTCATGCCTGGCCCTTGCCCACCCACCTGCCCAGCCCTGGCCCTGCCCTGGACCCACGAGGAGAAGAGCCTGGTGCCATCCAGCAGAGAGCAGTTGTAGTGGTAGCGAACAAAGTCCCCGAGCTTGGTCGTCTCGTTGCAGGTCTCCAGGGGCCGGGACAGCGTCTTGATTTCCACTGGATCCGCAGGATTGTGGAAATCAATCACGTGGACATCAAAGATCAGCACGGCAGAGCCAGGGATCTTGTCTCCTGGGGCCAGAATGGAGGCGTGGATCAGTTGGGGTCACGGAGGGGCTGCTCCAGCTTTCTACAGAGGCCCCTAGACTTCCCCGTCCTGGGATTCTAAGCAAGGATGGGATGGGTTGTTTGTCCACATGGTCAACTCTCATCATATACACTGTAGGGGTGAGGAGGCAGGGCAGGAGAGGGGAGGGGCACGTCAATTAGAAAGCCCTTTACAGGTATATCTTGCAACCTCCCAGTGACTTACTCTGCTGACCAATGTGATTAGTTCCATTTTACAGGTGAGCACACTAAGGTTTCCAGCAAAGCTGGGACTCAGATCCAGGTCTGTTTGCTTCCTAGGGCTATACCACCCTCCCTCCCCAAGCTCAGAAGTGAACTGCCTTTTTCCAGTTTGGAAGGGGAGAAGCAGGGGACTGCCCCTGGAGGAAAGGATAAAGTCCTTGCGGCAAGAGTTGGGTGGGGAACCAGTTTTTGTGATGAGAGGGGCAGAGCAGTGGCTGGAATCCCCCCACCCCTATTAGGGGTAGGTCTGGAGGAGTTGAGGTGTTGGCTTGGGGAACTGTGAGCAAGCCTACCAGTCCCGTTCTCCCCGTAGGCAAGGTGGGGGGGGATGGTGATCCTCCGGCGCTCCCCCATGCACGAGCCTTGGAGGCCTTGGTCCATCCCAGGGATGATGTAACCCTGCCCCACATACGTATTGTAGGTGTGGTTGCGGGAGTAGCTGCAATACAAGGCAGGGGTGGGGGGGCAGCAAGGGAGTCACAGGGGCCCCACCCTGCCAGGCAGCTCCGAGCTGCCCCAGCCCCCACCATCCTCCTCGGGACCCCCTGCCTGCCCCCCAACCCCAGACCTGGAATCAAAGAGAGTGCCATCCATCAGGGACCCGTTGTAGTGGTAACGCATGAAGTCCCCAGCTACGGCTCTCCGGACGCAGCCAGGCGGCAGCTCAAGTGTCTCCAGCTGGACAGTGTCCTTTGGGTTGTGGACATCAATCAGTAGGACGTGGAAGACCAGCGAGGCCTGTGAGGGGATCACAGTCCCTGGGGGAGGGATAGGGTTGAACCATACAAGTGGAAAAGAGAACGGGGCTTCTCGACTCAGGAAGGCCTATGTGAGCACCACCCCAAAAGGTGCCAACCCTGCTTTCCAGAGCCCTTTTGCTTCTTCCTATGCTTCTTCCCCTGTGAGGCCAGAGCTGGGTTTTCCCCAAGGCCACCACCAGCCCATATAAGCCTTTGTGTAAAGCAGAATAAAGCAGAATATGGGGACTTCCCTGATGGTCCAGTGGTTAAGAATCCGGCCACCAATGCAGGTGACACAGGTTTGATCCTTGGTCTGGGAAGACTGCATGTGCTGTGAGGAACAAAGTCCGTGCTCCACAACTACTGAGCCCACCTGAGGCAACTAGAGAAAGACTGTGAACAGCAAGAAAGACCCAGCACACCATAAATAAAAAAATAAAAATTTAAAAGAATAAAGTACTTCTCTTTTTTGGGGGGGTTATGCTCCATGGCTTGCGAGATCTTAGTTCCTCCATCAGGGATTGAACTTGGGCCCCAGTAGTGAAAGAGCCACTGGACCACCAGGGAATTCTGATGCACCCCTTCTTAATGAGATGATCACCCAAGGCTAGATTTCATCCCAATTTGCCTCCTTGGCTGGGTGTCCTTGTGCAGTATTCAACCTGGACAACTCTACACGGCAACCCGCTTATAGAGAATCCCAGAGTCCCTGCCCATCCTCACCATAGCCTTTCTCGCCATAGGCCAGGAATGGAGGGATGATGATCTTCCTTCTCTCTCCAGGACACATGCCCAGCAGCCCCTGGTCCATGCCCTTGATCAGCCAGCCAGAGCCCACGTAGGTGTCATAAGTCCCACCCCTACTGTAGCTGCAGAGAAGGAGGTAGAGGTGAGGCTGCTGTTGGTGGGAGAGGCAGGATGGCCCCGGACTCCCACTACATGCCACAATCCCCTGGATCCCGGGGCTCCTTCCAGCCCTTACCTGGTGTCGAAGGCGGTGCCATCCAGCAGCGTGCCGTTGTAGTGGTAGCGCACGAAGTCACTGTCCTGGACCATCCGGGGGCAGTGGGGTGGGCGCAGCAAGGTGCTCACCTGCACGGTGTCCTCCTTGTTCCATACATCCAGCAGGACCACGTCAAAGTAGAGGGTGGCATCGGGGGGGATGAGCCCCGCTGTGAGGGTGAAGCAGCCCCCCAGAGTAGAGGGTAGAGTGGAGGTCTCAGCATCCGGGCTTGGCCTTGCCCTCCACCACCCTTAGGACCCCTTCTCCTGAGTCAAGCGAGGCTCCTACCCAGGCCTTTCATTGTCCTTCCTCCCACCCCAGGGGCAGGGGACCCAAACATGAGTCCCAGGCTTGTTGCTATTCAGTCTGCGCATGCAGTGTGACCTTGGAAGGTCACTCTCCCTCCCTGAGCTTCCGTTTTCTGGCCCTACGGTCCCTGCTTCTACCTCCTGATCTCCTCCATCCCCAGGTCCGGGCCCCAGCCCTCCTCACCCACGCCGATGCTGCCATAGCCCAGGTGCGGAGGCACAATGAGGCGGCGGCGTTCATTGACACACATGCCCATGAGGCCTCGGTCCATGCCGGTGATGAGGCGCCCCACGCCCACCACGATGGCCACCAAGGTGTGGCGGTCATAGCTGGGGAGGGAGGGGACAGATGGGATGCAGTGACCTCTGCTCATGATCACACACGTGCCAGGGAGACACACACACACACACACACACACAATCCCCCTCCCTACACACACGTGTCGATCCACAGGTTCCTTGTCTCCTCTTCAAGCCTTCCCGCTAGGTGGGCCGCAATTCCCACCTCAACAGGGTGGGCTGTGACAAAAGGAGGTCCCCGAGGAGGCCAGAGTGGGAAGTACAGACATGAGGGGGCAGGGGGCGGCGGAGCAGGGGATTGGGGTTGGGGAGACCAGTTATCCAGCAGGAAGAAATGCTAATGCCTGGCTTTTTTGTTGTTGGTTGCACCATGGGGCATGGGGACATGGGAGGATCCTAGTTCCCAGGCCAGGGATCAAACCCTTGCCCCCTGCACTGGGAGCTTGCAGTCTTAACCACAGAAGAGCCAGGAAAGTATCAAAATGCTTGGCATTCTGCATTCATTATGTTATTTAATCCTGTCCCTTGTGAAGTGGGCATTATTGTTATTTTTGGCAGCACCACATGCTTTGTGGGTTCTTAGTTCCCCAACAAGGGACAGAACCCTGGCCACGGCAGTGGGTAATTTCCAAAATGGGCTTTATTGATTTCATCTTTCTTAGGAGAAAAATTGAGACTTGAGAGACCAAGTGACTTGCCCAAGGTCACACATGTGTGGTCTGTTGACCTCCACAGCCCACATGTGGGCCACCAAACCATCAACTCATGGAGGAAAAGAATGGGAAGCAGAGCTGGCCAGGGATAGGAATTGGTTTTCAATTTTGAAAACGCCTATTCTAAAATTGCCACAGCTTTTGTTTTTGGTTACAGTTTTAACTTATAAGTTTTCCAAAATTAAGGAAGAATGAGAGATTGGCATTTTGGTGGAAGGTGTCATGAGTGGTGAGTCTTCCAAACTCAGTACTTCACGAACTGGGCCCAACAGAGTCCCCAGCAGGGAGGTCATTCCCCAACTCCCAACCCCTCTTCCACTCTGTGGCCACAGGCTCAGAACTGTACTTCTGGCTACTTCCCAGGCCGCATTTTGCCCACTGAGATGGTTGCATGTCTGGCCTGCTCACATCACAGAGCCCTTATGAGAGCTTGAGCACTGCAAGAAGTTTCTACCAGTTAAACCAGAGTTCTCCCCAGAGTCAAGGCTAAGGTGTGCTGAAGCTGCTTGCAGACCATCAGGTCCTGTGTGAAGTTCACTTTCATTTATCATCTTGAGTCCTAACAGCAGCCTTAGGAAGTAGGGACTCATTTTTTCAGAATGCTTTTTGATATCCATTTTTCAGATGAGGGAAGTAAAGCTTAAAGAGGCAAGACTCCTTGTCCATGATTACAGTCTGGGTTTGAACTCAAGGTCTTGGTCTCAGGAGTTTGTGTTTTGCCTGGCTCCAAAGCCATGGCCCTTTTTAAAAAAATTAACTAGTTAATTATAATTTGGCTACACTGGGTCTTAGGTGAAGCATGCAGGCTGTGGCATGCGAACACTCAGTTGCAGTGGGTGGGATCTTATTCTCTGACCAGGGGTAGAACCTGGGCCCCCAGCATTGGAAGCATGGAGTCTTAGCCACTGAACCACAAGGGAAGTTCCCAGGGCCACTAATTTCTGCAGGCTGAAGTGTGTGTTTTGGTGAAGTCTCTAAGAGGGACTGATTGACTTCTTGTGGTGTGGTGTGGTTTGGGGGCTTGTGTGTGTGACCACCAGGACTCTAATTTTAACAGACTGACCTGGTGTATAGCCCTGCCCCCACTAAGAAAAATGAACTTGCTAGAGCAGACCAGAGGCTTGGACCAGACCAGAAGCCAGTCTCTCAAACCCCAAAGCTGGCAAGATGGGCGGCAGCACTGACCTGGTGGAGGCAAGATGGAGGGAGAGGGGGGCTGCGGGTTCAGGCGGAGAGGGAGGCAAGAAAACCCTCGGAGGAGCCCAGGGTGGCCTGTGTGACTGTGTGACACGTAGACAGACAGGTCCCCACACCAATCTGTGCCCTGCACTCCCTGATCCATCCTTCTGTCTTAGAAGGCCCACCTGCTTTACCCCACTGGCCCGCTGAAAACTCCCACTCCTTTCCCCGAAAACCTCTGCTAACTCCTTCTCTAAACACTCTGAAACCTGGGGCTGGAACCACAAAGGGAGTCAACGTGGATGGAAAGGTAGAGGGTCCCGGGCTGAGATCCCTGGACGATTCGCATGCAGCAGGGACCATGCCCTTCCCCCACCTCTATGAACCAGGACATCCCCTCGTTGGCTTTAAATAAAACGCTGGGTTCCTCTCGATTCTCAAGCACTTTGGGGGACAGAGGAGGCTGGTGTGAAAGCAAGTGAGGTCTTTTGAGAGGCGAAAGTTTCAAACTGAGGGCAGAGATGTCCGGGGAGAGGGAAGTCTAGGAGTCCTCCCACTCAGGGTGCTGTTTGGGCCTGGGGGAACGCGGTGTGAGGAGGCGCATGCAGACACAGTTTAAAGGCGGCAACAAGGGAACCCTAAGACTGAGAGATCCTGGCCCCAAGCTCGGGGAAGAGAAATGGTGAGTCTGGGGGCACCCAAGTCGTTACCTCGAGTCAAATTTCTTGCCGTCCTCGAAAGTACCGTTGTAATGGTAGCGCACAAAATCCCCCATCTGCACTTCCCGGGGACAGACCCTGGGGATGTGGTACCTCTCGATGACCACATCTTCCAGGGGGCCCCCGGCCGGGCTGGCGCGGCCCAGCCCCCTCCCCACGGCCTGCACCAGCAGCAGCAGCAACTGCAGCAGGGGGAGCCGGAGGAGGGTGTGGCTCGGGGGGCCCGCGCGGAGCATGGTGCCTGGAGCTGGGACGGCCGGCAGTGAGGGCGAGAGAGAGCGCGGCGGCCGCCAGACTCCTTCCCCCTCTTCCCAGAGCTGGCTCCCCCTCTTCCTGCACTCCATCCCCACCCCCGCCCTGGCTGGTCCACGTGGAATGGGGGCTGGGGAGGTTGAGCTGGCGGGGCGGGGGCCAGAGGCGTGCAACTGGAGGAGGAGGCCCAGGCCGCTGCAGTCGGAGGAAAGCACCGCTAAGCCATCCAGATTTGCGCCCACCCCCCCCCCGCCCCCTGCGGGGGCCGAGAGACCTGGGGCCTGGGGGGTAGGGAAGTTCGGGAAAGTTGAGACAGCGAGCCGACAGAAAAAAATAAAAAAGTTTCTAAGTCTTTTTTTTTTTTCTGGAGCCCCCCGGGTCCTAAAGCCGGGCTGAGGCATTCCTTGTTTCTTTGGGAGGCAACCCCCAATTTAGGCCTCTCCAGGTGACTGGTGAGGCTCCAGAATCGGGGGCGGGGAGGCGATCTCAGTGCTCCCTCCCACCCCTCTGTCCCAGGGACAGCCGCTCCCGGAACGAGCTGCTTTGTCCTGCAAAGCTGGACTGCCAGAGGACTTTTTGACGTGGGGATAGGGATCGGATAGGAGGTGGTGAGAGTGGAGGGTGTGGAGGGTAAAAACCAGGGATGTGCCTCCCTGTCGCGGGCTGGAGGGTACCCTTGGGGTCACTTCCTGGGGGCTGGGGGTGGGGAGTGAGCAGAAGGACCACTGTGATGGATGGAAGAGCAGGTTTCAGGGCTTGGGCAAACTGGAGGGAGGTGACACTTCCCTCAATTTCTCTATCTTAAGGCGGGGGCGACGGGGGAACGCCTTTGCGTGGGAGGGGCTTTCTGGGCTCCCCATCCCTGCTGGAAGCCTTCCGCAGACTCACACCGTCTGCTAAGGGGAGGACCCCCAAGGGCAGGAGGTCAGGGACTCAGAATAGTGTCGGCTGTCTGAAAAGAGTGAAGATCCCTCGGTCCCTTGGGGGATCTGACTCAAGCCACACACCGCCTCGCAGCCCCCCACCACGCCACCGCCCCCAAGTACCCGGCGCTAAGACCCAGCGGGCGCGCCGGCCAGGCCCGGGCCCCAGAGCCCGCCCGCCTGCTCGCCAGCGGGACCGGGACGCCTGCTCGCGGCTGGGAGAGCCGGCCGGCGCGGAGCGGGCATGGCTCGGGCGGCGTGGGGGCTGCTGTGGCTGCTGCTGGGCAGCGCCGGGGCGCAGTACGAGAAGTACAGCTTTCGGGGCTTCCCGCCGGAGGACCTGATGCCCCTGGCCACGGCCTACGGGCACGCGCTGGAGCAGTACGAGGGCGAGAGCTGGCGCGAGAGCGCGCGCTACCTCGAGGCGGCGCTGCGGCTGCACCGGCTGCTGCGGGACAGCGAGGCCTTCTGCCACGCCAACTGCAGCGGCCCCGCGCCGCCCGCCGCCGCGCCCCCGGGCCCCGCGCCCCCCGAGCCCGACGGCGGCGACGAGTGGGCCCGCGAGCTGCGGCTCTTCGGCCACGTCCTGGAGCGCGCCGCCTGCCTGAGGCGCTGCAAGCGTTCGCTGCCCGCCTTCCAGGTGCCCTACCCGCCGCGCCAGCTGCTGCGCGACTTCCAGAGCCGCCTACCCTACCAGTACCTGCACTACGCTCAGTTCAAGGTGCGCGCCGGCCGCCCCGTCGGGTCGCGAGGAGCGCGGCTCTCACCCAGCAGCCCGACCGCCGATCCCTCGCGCGCGCTCCGGGCGGCGGACTCCGGCTCTGCTGACCCGCTCGGTCCCCACCCCGCAGGCTAACCGGCTGGAGAAGGCTGTGGCCGCGGCCTACACCTTCCTCCAGAGGAACCCTAAGCACGAGCTCACCGCCAAGTATCTCAGCTACTATCGCGGGCTGCTGGACGCCGCCGACGAGCCTCTCACAGACTTGGAGGCCCAGCCCTACGAGGTGGGATGTCGGGGGTAGGACCGGCCCTGACGTAACTCCTTGAGTCCCGAGTTGCGTCCCGGCATAGCGCCAGTGGAGGAGGGGGAGGGTTGGAATCCCCTTGACCCCCCTGCACGTCCCCTCCCTCCAGGCGGTGTTCCTCCGGGCTGTGAAGCTCTACAACAGCGGAGATTTCCGCGGGAGCACCGAGGACATGGAGCGGGCCCTGGCTGAGTACCTGGCTGTCTTTGCCCGCTGTCTGGCTGGCTGCGAGGGGGCCCACGAGCAGGTGGATTTCAAGGACTTCTACCCAGCCATAGCAGGTACATCCCACCCAGACCCCAGTGGGCATCCCTCACACCCACAGGGCCCAGAACTCCTGAGGCCCCTTGACACAAATATTCATTCCACACGCATTTGGCCTCCTGAGTGCTTAGGGCTTCCCTGGCGGCTCAGACGGTAAAGAATCTGCCTGCAAAGCAGGAGACCCGGGTTCGATCCCTGGGTTGGGATCCAGGGTTGGGAAGATCTCCTGGAGGAGGAAATGGCAACCCACTACTCCTGTATTCTTGCCTGGAGAATTCCATGGACAGAGGAGCCTGGAGGGTTTCAGTCCATGGAGTTATAAAAAGTCAGACACAACGGAGTGGCTAACACTTTCTTAAGTGCTTGGGGGGCAGACAGGCATAAGTTGTTATCTGGACCCTCAGAGCCTTCAGTTGCCTGAGAGAGGCTAACAGGACACCTGCCACCCTGGGTACAGAAGACACAGCGGGGAGTGTCCAAGGCCAGGTGTAGCGAGGAGTGACTTCCCGAAAGGATCTGGGGAGGTTGGGTCCATGGACCTTCCAGACAGAGGGCAACGTAGGTACAAAGGTGCCAAGGTGGGAATCAGCCTAGCGGGGGTGTGTGGAAAGCAGTTCGGGGCCAGAAATACAGCTGGTCCGGGGATCCCTAAAGGCGGAGTCTATCAGCAAGGGCAGAAAGGACTGTCCTGAGCTTCTGTATTTGGGCTTTAGTCCCACCTCCAAACCTCACCTGCCATTCTTCCAGAGAGCCCTGGCTTCCTGTGGCTTTAGGGTGGAGGTCAGCTGTGGGCGTGGTAAGTCAGCCCAGTCCACAGCAGTCTTCCTCAGCATCTCTTGTCACTTTACGGTCTTGTGACATCAGCGGACAGAGCTGGGGTTGGCGGTCATCTCTGTCATCCCATCTGGTGTTCAGCACACCAGCTCCTCACTGCTGCCTCCCCCCCACCCCCAAAGATCTCTTTGCAGAATCCCTGCAGTGTAAGGTGGACTGTGAGGCCAACTTGACCCCCAATGTGGGAGGCTATTTCGTGGAGAAGTTCGTGGCCACCATGTATCACTACCTGCAGTTTGCCTACTACAAGTGTGAGCCTCCCAGTGGGCTAGGGGTGAGGGGAAGCACTGCACTAGGAGCGAAACCGAGTCAGAATTGAGGATCCCTGGTGATGGGAGGGTGGTGGGGGCAGGGAGGAACAGAGAGCCTGGGAGAACAGAGAACAGAATTCTCTGGGGAGAATTCGAGGGTCTCTTAGATGAAGGACTAGATAGTCAACAACTGCACAGCACTGGACAGTTTACAGAGCCCTGCCGCATCTGTTTATCTCACTGGATCCTCTCACAAACCACCAGTAGCTGATGTTACTGGACCCATTTTTCAGATGAGGAAGCCAAGGCTCACAGAGGGCAAGGGGCCATGAGTCAGTCACCTGGCTAATAAAAAGTAGCACCAGGGCTTAAGGCTCTCCTCACTTGAGGGAGATTTTGGCATCAGCTGAGGCTAAGAAGGTCAGTCTCCAGGGTGTCTGCAACTCAGAGATGCCCAAATTCAGACAGGCTGGAGTTGGAGAGGAAGAGCTGAAGAACAAGGGGCCAAGAGACCCTCTGGGGTGCTGTTGGCAAAGAGATTGGAGGCTGGGACAACAACCTCTGATTCCCCAGTGCCTTCACTTTCCAACTGTGAACTTGACCAGTTTACCTAACCTCTCTGTGCCTCGGATTTCTTGTCTGTAGTATGGGGATGACAATAACAGTGAGGCTTAAGTGAGTTACACAGGGCATCGGGCAGTTGCTCAATACACTCTAGCTTGTGTTGTTATTGAGTAGGATATTCTGGGAGGCAGCTGGGGATCCAGGGGCACTGGACTAAATCGGGAGCTGGGGACAGGTTAGGTGAGGGTCATCCCTGAAGGAGGGGGACGTGCCAGGGGCCACTCCTCACTCTTGTTCTACCTGCAGTGAACGACGTGCGCCAGGCTGCCCGCAGTGCCGCCAGCTACATGCTCTTCGACCCGGAAGATAATGTCATGCAGCAGAACCTGGTGTATTACCGCTTCCACAGGGCCCGCTGGGGCCTGGAGGAGGAGGACTTCCAGCCCCGGGAGGTGGGCATCGCCATGGCGTTCTCAGAACCTATGATTTGATTTTTTAAAATTCCTGGCTCACTCCAATGGCAGGATGAGAAATAAAAAGAAAGAATTTGGGTTGTGGTTGGAGTCTTAGGTTCAGACCAACCAGCTGTGTGGTCCTGAGAACACTACTGATTTTTTTTATTTAACTTATTTATTTGGCTGCGCCGAGTCTTGGTTGTGGAATGCGGGATCTTTAGTGGTGGCATATGAACTCTTAATTGCGGCATGTGGGATCTAGTTCCCTGACCAGGGATCAAATCTGGGCCCCCTGTATGGGAAGCATGGAGTCTTAGCCATTGGACCACCAGGGAAGTCCCACATTACCGACCTTTTCTGAATCGGCTGCCTCACCTGCAAAATGGGGGTGGTCCAGCCTACTGGTCCAGCCTACCTCTTCAGCACAGCACCTGGGATGTGGGAGGTAAAAAGTATCTGTCTATCATTGCCTCTAACCTCACCACCCTCCCCAGTCTCACTGCTCGCCTTTGCCCTTCATCCCCAGGGACCTCCTAACCTGAACCACCTGAGGAAAGCCCTTGGGAGTCTGGGCATGACTTGCAAAAATACCTCTCGGTTTCCTTGTCAGTGGCAGACATTGCTAATTGATTAAGGCGCTCTTTCTCACCGAGCCCTCAGAATCCTTCTTAACCCAGCATCAAGCAACTGCAGTTTTTTGATCAGCATGTAAACTGACACCCGTTTCCTGCTCCTGGAGCTGGAAAAGGACCAGAGGACTCTAGCAGAGTCTAGGAGCTCTGGCCCCTCCACCATCTGGCAGCAGGAGGCCTGGCTCACCTGTTTTTCTTCCCTCCTCCCAGGAGGCCAGACTCTATCACAACCAGACAGCTGAGCTCCGAGAGCTGCTAGACTTCGCACACATGTACCTGCAGTCAGATGATGAGGTAAGGCGGCCTTTGCCCCACAGGCCTGGTGGGCCACTGTGCCGAAGCTCAGCCACAGCTCCTGGCAGTCCGCTGTTGTGAGGCAGGGGCATTTCACCTGTGCCTTGTTTACACCTGCCCTTCTCTCCCTGCTCCATGTTCTCATGCCCCACTTCTCTACATGTCTGAATCTTGCTTCTCCTGGACCCAGATCTGATGGTGCCTCCTCCAGGAAGCCTTCGCTGCATGTCCTGGCTCTGTCTTCTGGGTTTGCTGTGGCCATTCTAACCCTCTGTGCCTCCCTGGACCAGAGTTATTTGCAGCCCTCATCCGTCTCACTCCGCTCCTTTCTCCAGCCAGTCTCCTAGAGAACTGTGCTCCAGGACAGGGGCTAGCTTATTCCCAGTCCTCCCACAGCACCCAGCACACGGCTGGTTCTCAGAAACTGAATCTGAATGAACCACTGAATGAATGAATGAACACAGTACACCAGGAAGGAAAGACACCCAGTGTGTTATCACATTGATTCTAAATGAGGGTTTGAGAGTCTGAATTCTGAGACGTTGCTGCCCAGTACTTATTCATCCATCCTCTCTGCTGTTCATGTGCCCATGCCCCCCACCCCTCATCAAACAGGGTGCTGGGTCTACATCGTGAGTCCCCAGGCTTTGGTGCTCACCAGACTTGGCTCCACCATATCCCAGTTGGGCAGCCTCCAGGCCAGGCTTAAGTAACCCTCAAACTTCCATTTCTTCATCCACTGAATGGGGAGAATAATGCCCATCTCATACCACTGTGGTGAGAATTAAATGAGATCCAGGATGTGAGGCATTCAGTGTACAGCTGGCACGTGGTAGGTGCTCAGGGGCTAGTAGCCATTTTGCTACTAGCAACATGTAGCTAGTAGCTACTAGCATGCTGACATGCTACTGTTATTTATTGTCTGCTGTTTGTCAGACTTTGTGACTGGGGCCGAAAGGCACAGCCCCTCACCTAAGCAGCTCAGTTAGTGTAGTGCAATGAGAGAGGTCAGCTTGGGGCCCTGGATGCTCGGGGCACTCCCAACCCAGCATCAGCAGCAAAGGCCACATCCTGGAGCTGATGCCTGGTGTTGGAGGGATAAACAAGAGCACAGGGGAGTAAAGGCATTCCTGGCTTCAAAACAGCCTGAGCAGACAGTATTCACAGACAAGCAGTATTGCCTAAGTATGCTTAAAAGGTGGGTTGTGGAGAGGGAGATGCTTCCACTAACCCTGAAGCTCTGCCGGTGGAGCTCATGCATCAGTTCAGGGAGGGGGCAGCTTGGGATCAGGACTTTGGGAGAAACCCTCAAGTCATTCCTGTGTGAGATCTTGAGTGAAGCTGGGAAGGGTGGGGGTTGGGACTGAGACGGGATGGGAGGGCCCCTTGGCCAGGAAGGGAGCTGATCTGGGTTTGTGCCTATTGTGACCTGGTTTCTCCACCCATCCTGGGCTGCTCTAGATGGAGCTGGAGGAGACAGAACCACCCATGGAGCCTGAGAAGCCCCCATCTGATGCTGAGTTTGAAGGGGAGGGCGACTACGAGGAGAGCATCTATGCTGACTGGTGGCAGGAGCCAGATGCCAAGGGCGACGAGGCTGAGGCTGGTCAGTGACTAGTCCTGGTGGACGGGTGGGGGTGCAGCCTGGGCTGGAGGTGAGGGACAGAAGGCTCTGAGCACTGGACTGCAGAGGGTGTTGGCACTCCTTCTTTGGGGGGCTTCTGGCCTGTTAGCAACCCCTGTCCCACCTGGTTGAGGGGTGGGGGAGCATCCTTCCTGGAGCAGGAACCAGCTGAGACCTGCTCCCGGGGATCCTCTCTCCTGCCTGCACTACCTCTCCCCAGGACAGCACCCAGATGCCTGTTGACGATGGGAAGGCTAACCCCAATGCCCTCTCATTTCATTTTCAGAGCCAGAGCCTGAATTACCATAAGAGGCCCCCCTACCCGCCTCAAGAGCTTGGGAAGCCTGGGTCCAACAAGAACTATTTATTAAACATGTAAAATGGACAGAGCTGACCAGGCCCCATCCTGTCCCACCTGTGAGCACTGCTCCCCAGACCCCTTCTGCCTCCTCTCTGGGTCTCTGGACCACAGGATGGTGGTGCTGCAGCTGCTGAAGGCCTGCCCTCCTCCCAGTGTGCTCCCCACCCAGTGGGGACAGTCTCCTGGAGAAGATTCCAGCTCTCCCGAGTTGGGTCTCAGCCTGAACTGCACACACAGCAGAGGGGCAACTGGCATCATGAAGAGCACTGGACCGGGAGTCCCGTGGTTGGTTCCTGGCACACTGGCAGTGGGTGCTCAATAAACATTTCTTGTTGAATGAATCAGAATTAGGGTCCAGATTTCACTGGGCGGAGTGGTAACGGTGCAGGTCCTTCCCTCCCCCCTCTGCACCCATCTCACCTCATCAATATACGTGGAGACAGGTGAGGGGCCATAATTTGGCCTCTATGGACCCTGGGTGTTTGTGACTGCCAGGAGCATCAGCCTGCGACTGCAATCTGCCGCTAGGGGGCGTAAGGATGAAGTTCTGCATGAATACTGGGAAGATGCCCGTTTCAGATATCTAAGGTGGGATGTCTGGTATTTTCCTAGTTCAGCATCACTTCCCTCAGAGAGTATGGGGAAGGGGCCAAGGACATTTACTTCCGGTTTTTACTTTCCAAGCTTTTACTGACCCAGGTTCCTTAGAGCTAGAGCAAGCATGCCCTGTCCTGCCCTCTCTGCTCACACCGAAGGGAACTTGCCCCCTCAGTAGCCAGAGGAGCCCTAGGAACGTGGCTTGATAACATGAGACTTCGTGGTGGCAGTGGGGCTGCCAGACCGTGTTGCCCAAACTTGAATTGACTGGGGGGGGTGGGGGGGGTGGGCGGTGGGCAGAGCATCTGGAGGTGCCTACCACCCATCCCTATGCTTTACCAGTGTCTCCACCGATCCATGTTTCCATGTTCCAGAGCAGGGACGTGGGGGCAATAGGGGGTCTCTCTGGGGAGAGACCCTAGACTGGGGCCAGCTAGGTGACACGGCCCCACTGCCCATATGTCTCCCAGGGGCAGGGTGGTGGAAGAGCTTTCTCCTCCTACTGGAGGGTGGAGCTGAAGCTGGTAAGCTCGGTTCTCGGCCTCTACACCCCTGCCCAGATGTGCCAGGTGACCTGGCCTAGGTTCCTGCCCATCTCGGTGCCCAGGAGGATTCCCTGCCCCACTGCATGCCCTTCCCCTGGGCCTTTGGTGAAGATGAGGGTAGGAAGGCCAGAGTCTGAGTCTGGAGCTTGGGCGGGGTCAAAGCCGGGGGCGCCGGTGATCTCACTCTTCCCTCCCATAGGTGAGTCTGCAGTGGCAGCGTCTCCAGAGAGCTCCCAGGTGCCAGGGCGGCCCCGCCCCACCCCACCCTCTCAAGCTGCTGTGTTGTCAGCTTCCGCCGAGACCCCGCCCCCTGTTTCTGGGAGGGGCTGGCCCAGCGGAGGGTGGGGAGCTGGGACGAGCTGGAGCGTGCCTGCGTGACTACTAGCTCTGGAATCCAGAGGGCTGGGTGTGAGTCTGAAAGTGCCTGTGTGGCTACAGCGAGAAGTTCTGTGTCCTTGTGTGTTGTGTTAGTGTGAGCGTGTGCCTGTATGCACGTGTCTGAGAGTGTCCGTGGCAGCTTGAGGGCGGGCGGGGGGCGACTGAGCGAGTTTGCGCATGCGTCCCTGAAGGGGCGTGCATTCGCGATGGTGGTTCAAGGTTTGTTCGCCCCCTCATCACGTATTTGTTGAGCACCTACTGTATGCTGGATACGCCGTAGGTGCTAAGCATATATAATAGTGGTCAAAGCCAGCCAAGCACCCTGCCTTCGTGAAGCTTGCATCCCTGCGGGGAGACAGGTAATAAACAATAAATGTTACACAAATGAGTTATCTGGCTAAGATAAATGAGATGGAAAAACAGAACAGGGTGAGAGGATCAGGGGAACCGGGAGGGGGGAGGGGAGCAATGAAGTTTAAAAAGTGTGTTGATATGTGTGTGTCCGTGTGCATCGAAGTGTGGCGTCTGAGGATGAGGGGTTGTGTACGTGTGTCCCCTGATAGCAGAAAGCCGCGCCTCTCGAATCATTCACCCCCATCCCTGCGTTAGCCCAGGTCCTGCGCTTCCAGGGGGCCTTACTCAGCTTCTCCATCCCAGGCAGCCACCAGCCCCTCCCACCTCTCTCTGATGTCAGCGTCTCCCCATTGCCCAGCCAGCTTCCCAAACCGGTGAGACCGAGTTCCAGTGAGTCCCAGCGTGGGCCCTCTGGGGCCCTGCAGTTCATTCTCCCAGCCCCACCCAGCCCAGACGCCCTGCCCTTGCCTCCTCCAAGTCTCTACCTCCCTTCCTTACCCCGCCCCCAACTCCCCAGCCGGGCATTTCAGCCGTCCTACCATGCATAGCATAGTGGCTAGAAGGTTAGAGACTCGGCCAAAAGGGCAGTGGGGATGACGACCTCACACAATAGGGCAAGACTCAGATGCCACAGAGGTGTCCTGGACCCAGAAAGCGCCCATCCTGAAGAGAGAATCACTGCTGCAGTGTATCAAATGTATACTGTGTGCCTGACTCTTGGCAAGTTCTTTACAGCCTCAGAACAGTCTTGCAGGGGCTTCCCTGGTGGCTCAGTGGTAAAGAATCTGGCTGCGAGTCACAGGTTCAGTTCCTTGTCCAGGAAGATCTTACCTGCCACAGAACAACTAATCTCTGTGCCAAAACTCCTGAGCCTGTGCCCTAGAGCTGGTGCTCCAAAACAAGGGAAACCAACGCAGTGAGGAGGCTGAGCACTGCGGTGAAGAGTAGCGCACTGCAACTAGAGAAAGCCCGCACAGCAATGAAGATGCAGGACATAACAACAACAAAAAAAAAAGTCTTGCAACATAGATATCAATTCCCTTCTGCCGTAGGTGAGGCTGAAGAATGAGAAGCAACCTGCCCAAGATCCCTCTGGGTGAGAGGTGACTGAGCTGGGTTTGAAACTTTTCTCCCTAAATCCATGTTGCTCAGAGAAGGGAGCGAGAGAAGGAACGCTCTGGTCTCTGTCTCTTTAGGTTGTCAGCTGAGGGAGGCAGAGAGTTCCAGAAGGGAGAGAGAAAAGGAGAGAGGGGTAGGGAGGAAGGAAGGGAGGAAGGGGAGGAAGTAGACCATCCAGCCTCACTCTTGAGCCTGATTCCATAGCTGGGTCCCACCTCCCATGGTCAGCTCCCGAGATTGGACCAAATGTTAGTGGGCCTGGGATCATCACACAGACTTGCTGGGATCACTTAGAGAGTGTGTGTGCTCAGTCCCTCAATCATGGCCAACTCTGTGACCCCCTGGACTGAACCCTGTGCTCCTCTATCTCTGGGATTTTCCAATCAAGAATATTGGAGTGGGTTGCCATTTCCTCCTCCAAAAGACCTTCCTGACCCAGGGATCAAACATGCAGGAGGATTCTTTACCACTAGCGCTATCCAGGAAAGCTCGGGGTCATTTAGACCAGCCTCTTTTTGAATCCAGAGAAATGATGGCCAGGGTCAGTGGGGGTGGGGTGGGGGAGTCCCATGGGATCCCCCCAAATTCTTGTAAATTCCAATGGAAAAAATTCCCTGCTTAGGTTTGAGAAATAGCTCTTGAAGTCTCACCCTACTGTTCCCTTTCTCTGGGAGAGTAGGGTTCCCCTGGGGACAAAGAATGACCCCTTCCTTTGTCAGAGGCTGTATCCAGTTGGCACTGGAGGCAACTGCAGAACCTCACTGGGGGAGCCCTGACAGCTGCCGGGTCCAAGCCCCACGCAGCTTCCCCACTCAGAGGCCTTCATGGCTCCAGCAGATGACCCCTATTTCCTGGATGGAGGAAACTGAGCCCCAGGGAGACTAGATTGGGCTCCCAGGACCACATGATCAAACTCCAAGATGGCTTGGGGATTAGGAATATAAACTGGACACATCACCCCATAACATCACCCCATAATCACTGCCTGCCTAGGTCCCAGCTGGCGCCGGGGTACCTGGATAGCATCACATCTGACCCCCAAACAGCCTTTGGGTTGGGAGCACCACTCATTCCCATGACTCAGGTGGAGAAACTGAGGTAAGAGGAGGACATGGCAGCTTGCTTACCCCTTCCTGCCTTGTATACCTGATCTTCTGTATCTGCAGAAGAACTCACTGTGGTAGGTCCTTTGGTAAAGAAGAGGTCAGGAGAACCTGACAGCTTCTGTTTTGAGTCCTTTTTTCAGTCCTCCTTTAACAAGAGTGCTACGTTATATTCCTGGAGCAAGATAAGTGGTGACCATTTGAAATTCCTTCCTTTTGTTTTGAGCATTTGACTAAATCCTGATGGCTTTCCTGCAGGAAGAGGCTAAGAAGAAGTGAAAGTGAAGTCACTCAGTTGTGTCCAACTCTTTGCAACCCCATGAACTGTAGCCTACCAGGCTCCTCCATCCATGGGATTTTCTAGGCAAGAGTACTGGAGTGGGTTGCCATTTCCTTCCCCCAGGGGATCTTCCCGACCCAGGAATCAAACCCAGGTCTCCTGCAGGCAGAAGCTTTACCACCTGAACTACCAGGGAAGAAGTGAGGCTCAGTCAATCTATCTGAGGGGAGTCTGGTCTCCTTCCCTGGCCCCAAGTGGATGTGGGGGGCAGGGGGCTTTTGGAGGCTTCACAGCCATGAAAGACATCTCATTAAAATTTTTTGTTATCGCCAAAAGAGGTTATGTACACAGTTACAGAGACAGAAATCAAACCAGGAAATGCTTATCACATAATTTTAACCTTTTGGGTTTCCCTGGTGGCTCAGATGGCAAAGAATCTGCCTACAGTGTAGGTAGACCTGCGTTCGAGCCCTTGGTCAGGAAGATCCCCTGGAGAAGGGAATGGACACCCACTCCAGTATTCTGGCCTGGAGAATTCCATGAACAGAAGAGCCTGGCAATTTACAGTCCATGGAGTTGCATAGAATCTGACACAACTGAGCGAATAAACCTTTCCAATTTTTTTTTAGACATAATTCTTTTGATAACCCATTTTTTTGGTAATACCTTGATATGCTCAAAAATGGAAATGTCCCTGGCCTTGGTGCTCTTCTCCTGCCCCCAAAACATACTTTGGATGGAGCTGGCTTCTCAGGCACCATCATCAACAGCCCGGGTCCAGGGTTCACCAACCCCCACTCTCCCTGCCCTTCCCCCTCACTACATCCAGGTTTTCTGCCAGAGTCATAAATTATCCATGAGCTGTAAGTTGGATGCTTCGTCAACTGGAGGCTGAAGTGCTGATGAAATATTCAAGGATCTCAACTCTCAAATTCCCTGGTGGCCG